ATATTGTGCTCCCTGCAAGCCCGGTATGCTCTGCACCCGAGTTGCAGTAGCATCCGCAGGCGCCTGTGTACTCAATAAATCACCTCTTGCATTTGCAGCCAGTGGTCTGGCCCCGGTTCTTGGGCAGAGGGTTCGGTTCAGTGCCCGGCGCTTTGATGCCGAGGTCTTTCAATATAACTCTGGCCAGATGTGAACTTTGCATAAAGGCTTGACCATAGGACAAGGAGATGGAGATGCCCAGTGCAGTGACTCATTTGCAGTTTCACAAAGCCCAAAACCATTCTCTATGGAAAAATATAGAACATTCAGTGAGACATTTGCCCGAGAATGTAAAAAAGAGATGGGGTAAGCCTGTAGCCTCACATACGTGAAGCACTAGGTTCAATTCCTAGAATCCAAATAACAAAACAAAACAAAACAAAACAAAAAAACCCAAATCCCTAGAAATTTCAGACCATTAGTTCTGATCCCCCGGAACCGCAGCTGGATGGTCCTGAGCCACCACGTGGGTGATGGGAATTGAGCCCAGATCCCCTGAAGAGCCAGCAGCGCTCTTAAGCACGGAGCCGTCTCTCCAGGCCCATGAAACATGTTTGTTAACAGGAAGTGATGTCAAGTAGCACAGGACAGGAAACGACTGAAGTCACTGAGGAGGGTCACCTCGTCTTCAGCCCCATTGAGAAAGCTAGCATCTCCCTCAAGAGAACCTGTCTCCATCCCTTTGGCACCCCATAAGATCACTGCAAATCGTGCCAGAGAAGAGAGGAGGTGGGGCGCCACCTTTTGCTCCCCGACTTCCCGAGAGCAGGTCACAGAGGCATGTTGGCATGAAGAACACAGATGTGCCTATGTTCTGAAGGGCTAGGAGAAATTACGGGGCTGGGGAGATGGCCAGCAGGTAAGGGCACCTGCTGGCCACATGAGTGAGCTCCATCTCTGGGAGCCACAAGGTGGAGGAGAAAACTGACCCCTTGGAGCTGTCCTCAGACCTCCACATTTACACAGTAGCTTGGGTACCACACCACCACCGCAAAGTTACTAACTAAATATAAACGAAACAACTAACAGTGTAAACCAAGTCTGGGTGCACGGCGCACGCCTTTAATCTCAGTACTTAGCAGGCAGAGGCAAGCAGATCTCTGTTTGAGGCCAGCCTGGTCTAATAGTAAGCTCTAGGCTAGCCAGACCCTACCTCACATAAATAAGTAAATAAATACATATAAAACAAAAATGTTTGAGAGGAAATTTCATCCTACCTGAAAGGCCATGGCATTCAGAACTACCTGACCTACTCTGATTTCTCTTTCTTGGGTAACTGGAGAGAAGGGTAAAACCCCGAGGAAGCATCTGGTATGTTTCTAGTCTCCTTGACACACACCATGTCAACTTGACTCAAACTAGAGTCACCTGGGAAAAGGGGACCTTGGCACCAGGCAAGCACACAGGTAGGAAAACACCTAAACATATGATATCTAAAAGTTATGAAAGACCCCAAGAGGGATACTTTCACGGAAGGGAGACCCGAACCCAAGGAACAACGAGACCACGAGCTTGGATGCAACAGCAAGAGGCTTTATTGATAATACACGGGTACCCGGGGCGTCTCAGTCTCGGGAACTGAGAGCCCCGAGCTGGGGACTCGGGGATTCTTTTATAGCAAAAAGCGCAGTACAGAAGCGAGAAGCCTAGTTACAGGACCCTGATTGGGCAATTTAAATGAGGCTGGGGCTCAGAACGAGGGCAATTGAGGTTTTGCTTGGAACTCAAGTCTCGGCCTTGGCCCTATCTGAGGAACAATAGGTCTCTGTGCTTGCCCAATCTTGCTGGGCTGGCCATCTGGTCAGAGCTCCCTTCTGATAGCAATGACTATTCAGCTGTGGGGACCTTGAACTGAGCTCCCCTCTGATAGCAATGACTATTCAATTGTGGGGGAAACGGAATTTTCCATAAGCCTCGGCTGCCTGTTTAGACTGGGCCGGGGTCTTTCAGTTAAAGAGTAGAATATGTGGAATTCTATCTTTGTAACATTTTCTGTTTTTGTTTTTCGAGACAGGGTTTCTCTGTATTTTTTTTTTTTTTTTGAGACAGGGTTTCTCTGTAGCTTTAGAGGCTGTCCTGGAACTCCCTTGGTAGTCCAGGCTGGTTTCGAACATACAGAGATCCGCCTGCCTCTGCCTCCCAAGTGCTGGGATTAAAGGCACGCACCACCAACGCCCAGCTGTAGCATTTTCATGTCTAAAACAATTTCAAAACTTTAGGAAAAAAATTTAACCCACATTAGGGATGAGGAGGAGGAGAGAGAACACGAACCCTTCAACTTATGTTCAGGTCACCCAGCTTGTACTCTCAGCATAAATCCTGGATGTCAGATCATTTTGGGGTTGGTGACGTGGATTCTGTTAAGAAAACATGCCCAGAGAAGCAAGAGTTTTGGGGAAGGGAGAGTAAAACCTGATGCACTTTGAACTTGACTTTCAGATGTTTAATAGCTTCCCACTGAGATAAGTCTCAGCTCGTCATCACCTTCTTAGAAGAGGGTTAGAAAAAAGGGATCGTGAGGGACCAGGGCAGCTGTGGACTGTGCAGGGGATGGGGGTCAGAGAAGACTGGGCATTCAGTCCAAGCTCAGTGTCACTTTGTAAAACTGAGGTCACTACTGTCTAGGGCCAGAATGTGCCCAAATGTCACAGATCTGCTGGGGCCAGAGCAGTAGTCACAGACACGTCACACTGACACACTTGACTGCTGCAAGATATGTCACATAAAACAACAAACAGCACATCAACTCCCCCCCCCGCCCCCATCCCTCCAGACAGGGTTTCTCTGTATTGTTTTGGAGGCTGTCCTGGAACTCTCTCTGTAGACCAGGTTGGTCTCAAACTCACAGAGATCCGCTTGACTCTGCCTCCCAAGCGTTGTTCTTTTTGCACCAATGTTAGGATAAGGCTGGAAGGGGGTCCTGTGTGGGGAATCTTGGTGGGTTCCAAGACGGGTGAGGGTGACCGAGGCCGGGGGGTGGGTGGGATGGGTGGGGTGGACGGGACACAACACACATGCCAGGCACACAGAGCTTGGGTGAGAAGTTTTATTAGAAAGGGAAGGGAGGGGGAAGGAAAGAGAAAAGAGGTGAAGAGACACAGAGACAGAGGACAGAAGAGAAGAGGGAGACAGGAGCAGAAGGAGAACAAGAGTGTGTAAGTGGGCGGGGTCTGTCTTTTAAAGGGGTCCTTTGCACCTACGAGAAACTGTACTCATGGAACCCTGGGCTGACCAGGGTACCGCCTGAGTGCATCCTGCCAGGTGACAGAGGCAGGCCAGCAAAGTGCCTGAATCCTTACACCCAGTGCTGGGACCAAAGACGTACGCTACCACTGCTCGGCCCTCTTTTCACTTTTTAGAAATTTTTTTTTTTATCTTTTTGTGTGTGCACATATATGGGCATGTGTGTGCCGAACCAGTTATGTGGAGGGCAGAGCAGTCTCGGGTGTTAGTCTGAGCCTTCTATCTTGTGGTCCATCTAACACTGCCACATACTCCAGGCTAGTTCATCTGAGAGCTTCTGGAGACTGTGTTATCATCCCGTAGGAGCGGCGATTACAAGAGAATTACAAACACGCTACAGCAGCTTACGTGGATGTGGGTTCTGGGCATCCAAACTCACATTCTCTCTCTTGTGCCCCCAAGAACTTTACCTATTTAGGCATCTTTCTAGCACCCTTCTACTCCCGCCCCCCGGAACCCGGTTTGTGGTGTGGTGTATCTCAAGGCTGGCCTTCATTTTGAGATGCTCCTGCCTCAGGAGCTGAAATGCTGGGATTACAGGAGTGTATACCACAACGCTCAGCTTCATCCACCCACTCTCGAGACGCACAAGGACACAGTCACAGTCCATACACTCCACAGTCAAGTTTGCTCCCCCCCGTGATACAGTGAATTCTGCTGTCCATCACCTTCAAGGCCCTCCCCGCACAGTCACAGTCACACATGGTGGCGGCGCACAGACCTCCGCATCATCCAGCCATAACTGAACATCCAGTCTGGGGACAGTCATTAGCAAAGACAGACCGCACCTGCAGACACAGCATCAGGCTGTCACAAAGTCCTTCCCTCCCTCCCTTTCCCCCCCAAAGGGACACAGTAAGGGTACCCCGCGCCGTGCTGATGCAGAGCCACGGACACAGAAGACCACACACACACATGCACGCACACACACACGCACGCACGCACACACAGGTCACTTAATAGAGAGACGCAAACCCAGGTCGCGGTTACAACCGTGTTCACACCCTGCCTGCAATAAAGGCTGTGGGGCACTTAACACACCACAGGGCCCAGCGACACCACTTCCACGATCACAAGATCCCGGCGTGGTAGCACACAGCGTCGCCTGTGTTTTCACAGCCACAATCGAGACACACACACACACACACACACACGCACACGCACACGCACACGCCTCGGAGAGAGGCGATTACAACCTCTCACACCCCCAAACAAACGGCCACACCGCCGCCATCGAAACCACATTCAGGCCCCGCAGCCCTCGGATGCTCCCACGTGCACAGCGCCCCCAGGACCTCGGGACACGCCCGGTCCCCGCCCAGGACTCCCAGACCGCTTCACCTTCGGGCTCCGTACCACGCGCGTGCGCCCGCGCCCGAGTTTCCCAGCTCGCTACGGACCCTGGGAAGCGTAGTCCAGAGCCACACCAGACACCGACAAGATGTCGTCCTCTCACCTTGGAGCGCCTGACTCGCTATGTTTCTGAGACGACTCCAGGGAGGTGCCGAAGAGGAGGTCCCCACTCCAGGTGTGAGCTTATTTGGGCCCAGGTGATGACAATCTACTCAAAGAAACCCCAAAACACGCGAAGAGGAGGCCGAGTTGGCGCGAGGGAGACCGAGCAACGGTCCGCAATGCCCCATGGGAAATGTAGTCCAAGGCGGGAAAAGCGCTGACAGCCGGGCCGGGCTTCGGTGAACAAATCCCCCCCTCCATCCCCGGAGCGTCGCGGAGACTTCTGGGAGCGCTCGCCCGCCCGCTCCCGGAGTGCGCAGACGCAGGGCGGCGAGTGGACATTTTGGTCTTTGTCCGCGGGTCAGCACGGCCTCTGGGTCCACGTGGCGCCCAGGGAGGAGGTGGGATGTGGGCGTCGTGGGTCGGTGGGGGCCCGGGAGGCTGGAGGGGAGGGTTTCCGAGCAGTGGCGGCGCGGGGTGGGGGCCGAGGGTGGGCCCCGAGCCTCGGGCCTTCCCGGGGGCGGGGGCGGGGGCCTCTGCGCCGCGCTGGGACGCCCGAGGCCGAGGCCGAGCGCAGAGTTGGACCCGTCGCCTGCGGTCGTTGACGGGGTGGGCAGCTGGACGTGGGGTGGTGGGCGGCTGGGCCGTGAGGCCGCGTGGGGACCGCTGTCACGTCCGCGCCGTGGTTCCCGGGCGGAAGGTGCTGATGGTGGTGACCGGGCCGGCTTCCCCGGAGAGCATCCGTTGGGCCGCCCTGGGGAGAGGGGACAGAGCTACGGACTGGGTACTTCTAAGACAGTGTTTATTAAGCGTGAGTTTTTAATACCTGTAGCCAGGCGGTGGAGTTTTGTTAATGTGTCTAGTAAACCTTAATAGGAATGGTTAGAGTTTTGTTAATACGTCTAGTGAACCTTAATAGGAATTGTTAGACTTTAAAAATCGATTTCTGTATACTAAGGTGCAGTTGTTCCTGAGTGGAGGAAAGATATACATTACTCTGACATGCTTAACATTATATAAATATATATACATACATATATATGCACACTTACACATATATACACACATGTACACACACATATACACACACATATATACACACACATATATACATATACACAAAACTCGTTTGTAATTTTTCTTTCGGGGGTGCCTGCCGCAGACTCTTACGTTTCTGATTATTTTTGAGGCGCTTTAATAGAGCTGCCAGGCACATCGCATTTCGTTTTGAGGAGCGTCATTCCACCGAAAACCCAGGATTAGAGAGTCAAGGTTTCGGCTAGGCACAGTTCCGAGTTATTTACATATATTTGCGCGGACGTGCTTGCCTGTACGCACGTGTGTGTGTGTGTGGGGGGGTCTGAGGGCTATTTTGGAATCGGTTTTGTCTTCCCGTGGTGTGGATTTTGGGGTCGATTTCAGACTTGGAAGCAAACGCCTTCACCCGCTTAGCCATCTCCACTGACCCAAGTTCCTCGATTTTTGAAGAAAATGTAGTTGTTGCTGTTCTGAATCATAGAAGTTCATGAGCCTAGGTCTGGGAACTATGTGGCATTAAAAAAAAAAACCTGCTTGTTATTTCGGTCATTGAAGACATTGCCAACATTGGCCTTTCTTTACAAGGTAAAAGTAAAGCAATCGAGTCTTTAACTTTACCAGTGATAAATGTACCTTACCTCACTTGCTCAAGGCCCTGAGTCAGTCCTCAGCACCACTAAGAAAGTTGTAAACAGTGAGCCCTCAAGTTGTAGCTGCTTTTCTTTGAGGGGGCTTTTTTGTTGTTAATATTTGCTTTTTCGAGACAGGGTTTCTGTGTGTATTCCTGTAAAGCAGGCTGGCCTCGAACTCAAATCCTCCTGCCTCTGCTCGCTCCCTAGAGCTGGGATTAAAGGTGTGCACCGTCATTGGCCCAACTCTTATCTTTCTAAATGTCACTTGAATTTTTTTTGAGATTTTATTTTTATTTTTATGTGTACTTTCCTGCAAGTATGACTTTTGTGCACCTCATGCTTACACTGCACTTCCCGCAGTGGCCAGAAGAGGGCATCAGATCTCCTGGGACTGGTGTTACATAAATTACTTATTTATTTATTTATTTATTTATTTTTTGAGACAGTTTTCTCTGTGTAGTCTCTTTGTTCACTCTGTAGAACAGGCTGGCTTTGAACTCACAGTGATCCTGCTTGCTTTTGCCTCCTGCGTGCTGGGATTAAAGGCATTTTGGTTTTTTGAGACAGGGTTTCTCTGTGGCTTTGGAGGCTGTCCTGGAACTAGCTGTTATAGACCAGGCTGGTCTCGAACTCACAAAGATCCGCCTGCCTCTGCCTCCCGAGTGCTGGGATTAAAGGCGTGCGCCACCAACGCCCGGCTCAGAGACAGAATCTTAAGTAGCCCACTTAAGTGCTCGGATTACAGACTTGTCATCATACCTGCCTTTGGTGTTTTAAATTCTTTTTTTAAAAACAGGGTCTTACTATGTAGATCAGGCAGATCTCAAACTACAGAGGACCACCTGCCTCTGTCTCCTGAGAGCTGGACTTAACTATTTTTTCCCTTTCTTAAAAATCAGTCTGTTACCAGGGAAACAGGAAGCGCTGGTCCAAAAGTGATCATTTTAGGGGAAGGGGACCTCAGTAACCTCTCAAGTTTGCGAATTCTAAACCTCACAATTGTACAGGTCATGAAGTTAATGTTAAATTCTGGAAGTAGACCTGGTATTTAGTAAGTGCTTGGTTAAATGTAAAGTAGTAGTATTGACTATAAAAATACAAAAGATAATTTTACTGAAATAACACTGCAACTCAAATTGTTACTAGTTTGTTAGCTTGCATGGAGGCTTTTGCCTGTATGTACATCTACGCACTAATGAGTGCCTGGTGCCCTCCCTCTGAGTCCTGGAGACGGTATTGGCTGCCCTGGAACTGCAGTGTGGTCAGTGGTGAGCTGCCATGCGGGTGCTGGGAATTGAACCTACGTCCTCTAAAAAAGCAGCTAGTGCTCTTTAGTTCATATTGTTTACGGCAGAAATTTCTGAAGAAGAAATGTGATGTAGAGTCGGGCGGTGGTGGCGCATGCCTTTAATCCCAGCACTTGGGAGGCAGAGACAGGTGGATCTCTGTGGGGCCAGCCTGGTCTACAGAGTGAGTTCCAGGACAGCCTCCAAAGCAATATAGAGAAATCCTGCCTCGAAAAAAACAAAAACAATGTGATGTATAGAAGCAGTTTTGCTGTCTGTGAGATAGTTTCATGTAGCCTTGACTTTGTTTTTTTGTTCTTTAAGAATTTTTAATACTAGAGGCTGAAGCAGGAGGATCTCTGTGTTCTGAAGCCAGCCTGGTATATGGTGCCACCACAGAGATATATTGTAACCGTTGATATTTTTGTATTAAATTCCAATTTTGGCTCATTTGGTTTATAATATATAAAGGGCAGTCTTTTATGCTTTACCTTGAATCATATCAGGCAGACATTTCATGTGGCTGGTCTACCATTTTTGAATATCTTTTTCCCCAAAAAGTAATGTTTGGTTTTACTTCAATACAATGTCTATTAATCATTTAGTGGGTGGTTGTAATAGCAGTGAATGACCTATAGTTGACTCAGCAATTTCTAAGAGCTGCCTGAAGTGAAGTTTTCTAGTGTTTTTCCAACTTCTATTTTAGTATGTAACTCATTGTTACTAGAGTCTCCTACATGATCTATATCCCCAGTCTGATCTTTTTTCTCTGCCTTTTCTATTTCTTTTTTGTTTTTTAAAGATGCTTAGAATGCTCGTTGGATTTCGTTCCTTTATTTATTTATTTATTTTTGGTTTTACAAGACAGGGTTTCTCTGTATTGTTTTGGAGGCTGTTGGTCCAGCCTGGCCTCAAACTCACAGAGATCCACCTGCCTCTGCCTCCCGAGTGCTGGGGTTAAAGGCGTGCGCCACCACCGCCGGGCTTCGTTCCTTTATTTTTTAACAGTTTGTGTGTATGAGTGCTTTGCCTGTTACATATGCCTGTGCCACTGTGCGTGCCTGGTACAAAGTCCAGCGGAAAGCATCAAATCCCTTGGAACTGGACTTAAGAGATGCTGTGAGTCGCTATGTGGGTTCTGGGAATCAAGCCCACGTCTCTACAATAGTTTAACAGGCATTTGTGCTGGTTCACCAACTTGTGTGCCTGGTGCCTATGAAGGCCAGAAGAGGGCATTGGATCTTTGTGGAACACAGTTGTGAGCTGTCACCATGTGGCTGGGTCCTTTGGAAGAATAGCCAGTGTTCTTAACTGCTGAGCCGCCTTTCCCACCTCTGTCTTTTTCTTCTTTTAAGCATCACTTTACATTTTAAAGTTGTATAGTTTTAGTATGTGTGTTAGTTTTTATTGCTGAGATAAAATACCATGACCAAGGCATCTTGTAAAAGAATGTTTAGGTTTATGATTTCAGAGGGTTAGAGTCCATGATGGCAGAGCCAAAGGAACAGCTGAAAACTCACACTTTGATCCACTGAGTCTCTTGATCTCAGAACCCTCCCTGGTGATGCACCTCCTCAGCAAGACACATCTGCTAATCCTTCCTAATAATTCTACCAACTGGGGACCAGTTATTCAGATTATGAGCCCAGAAGGCTATTTTCATTCCAACCACCACAGGAAGTTTCAATCTACTTCATTGATTGTGTTTTGTACTGTCCTGTTACACTTAGCCAGAGAATGCTGATTCAGTTTACCATATTTTCACTTTCTGAGACTGGCTCACCCTGTCATCCTGTTTGCCCTGTATAACTTACTATGCACACCAGATTGCCCTTGACCTTGTTGCAGTCCTTCTGCCTCTGCTTCCTGGGTACTTAGATTCCAGGTTTGTGCCACCATGCCCAGCGGTATATATTCCTCACTCTTAGTTCCTGCCCTGTGCTCCTAAAAGATGGTATACCATGTTCACTTTGTCAGTTGATGCAGATATAGAGGCATAGCTCCACAGCCATGACAGCCACCTGAGGAGTTGCTTAATGTTTTAGGAACTGTGATTCAGGTAAAACTGAGTGAGTCTTTGGCTTCAACCTAGAAAATGATTTCAGAGTAAGCCAATATGAAACAGAGTTGGGGTGTCTCGTTTTGCTTTGGCAAGTTGTTTGTTTTTTAAGACAGGGGTTCTCTGTGTAGCCCTGGCTGTCCTAGAACATGCTCTGTAGACCAGGTTGGCTTCAATCAAAGTTAAATCTACCTGCCTCCTGCCTCTCAAATGCTGGGATTAAAGGCATGGACCACCACCACCTGGACTATATTCTGTTAATTTTTGAGATAATATTTTAATTACAGCATTTTCCCTTCCCTTTCCTCCCTTTATTTGAACTCTCAAGTGGGACACCCTGCAAGTGGAAATGAGAGGCCAACTTGAGGGAGTTGGTTCTCTTTCCA